AAGTAAAAGAAACAATTACACCTTTTATTGTTTTAATACAATGTGCAAGCTATAGACAAACTTCCAATTGCGATCGGATCATTATCAACGTTAAGAATATTAAATAATACAAAGGCAAAAACAAAACATAATATGAATTTTACTCTCTCTAACAAATGGTAATACAAAAACGATTATCATTCTATTCACAGTTATTTTACTTAATATTTTATTTACGTAAATTAGAAAAAAAATATAAAACACTTTTATAGATAAAAAAAACGTTCAAAATTATATATCCAGTATCACTAACAATAAAATACATCAATTCAGCAATAAAATAGATTGAATAATAATGGCTAAATTTAACAAATCCAACTTATGTTATTAAAAAATTATGATTTCATACGATTTTAGATGGATGAACTTGAAAATATACTTAATAGAAATTTAGTGAGAAATACGAAAAGAATTTAAGAACCATTACAATAAAGTCAATCAAGAAATATACCTAAAAAGTTTGAGTCCTTCAGTCAGGACCAAGTACTGCGATAAAAGCAGAACGCTTGATCGGTCTAATAAATCAAAAGCGATGGATCAAGTCAAGCAATGGTGTGGTTCAATGAATAATGAAGAGAATGAACTGTCGAGTAAAGAGAGAATCGATGATTCGGAGAGTGATTTAGAGAAAAAAGGAAGCAGTGCTGCAAAGGAAACGACAAATGACACAGGCAGTGATCAAGAATGGACTAGGGAATCTGAAGACGAAAGATTATTGAGCCGTAGCGACGTGATTCAACATGCATTCAATAGCGCTAGTGCACAGTCGAGTAGATATAACAAAATTTTATGCACTAATCTGACAACGTCATTAGAACTGCAATCTGCAGATGAAGAAAAATCTAGCCAACCACCTGCTTTAGTGGCTGACGCCGACGAGCTTGTTACAGTCGATTTCAAACAAATGCCGAATTTGGCTTCTGGTCTCGATGTTATGTCTCAAAAAGAAAGTGTCATCGAATTGAATTCGTCCTCCATTGGGAAAGTATCTGTTCAAGGATCTTCAACAACGCAAGGTGTTGTAATGATCCAAAGTCGAGATAATACAAACGTATTCACCTACAAATACGAAAAGTGTAGTAAAATGTTTGGTATCATATTTTTTGTATCACGTCTATTACTCTGTTAACATGTAATCTTTGCAATAAATTGAATTAAATTAAATTAAATTAAATTTTGTTAGTAAAAAATTATGCTTGGTTACAATTTTGAATAAGTAAACTTGAAAATATACTTAAACAAAAAAATTTAATCGTGAGAAATCCAAAAAGAATTTAGGGAACGTTACAAGAAAATCAATTGAAAAATACACCTAAAGTGTTTGAGAGTTCTATGAAAAATAGGGAAATACTCTGTCACATCACTTTAAATACGATGCGTCACTACGGTTCTGTGAATGTTAAGATGTTGAATTATTATAAATATTCATTTAAATAAATTAATTTCAGAAAATATATACTTCAACATCTTATCATTCAGACCATACTGGCGCTTCGTACTTAAAGTAATGCATGTAACATAAATAATTTTGTTTCCAATCTTATTGTGAATATTCTATCAATCTCAAGTTCCGGAATACTTGAATCAACAGTTAAAAATAATGGATAAAGGTACAAAAAATATGAATCTAAACAATGCGATGAGATTTATGTAGTCCATGATTAATATTTTTAGAATTTTGGACATGCTTGTATTATTTCAACAGTTCCATTTTATGTTACCATTTCCACATTTGTTTTTTAACAATTATTTTCAATTATATTAAAGATGAACACAATTCCTCCGCACAAGCTTTGAAACGATCTAACAGTGAGATACACACTGATGATAAACGCTACAAATGCGAAACATGTGATAAAACGTTCCAGTACAAATCGAAATTAAATCGTCATTTGTTAATTCATACAGGTGAAAAACCTTATAAATGCGAGGTTTGTGAAAAAGGATTTAAGTGAGTAAAAAATTTATAAAAATATTAAATAATTGTATTACTTAAATTAATGGTTAACAAATGATAAACATTTTGCAGCGATAGATCAAATCTAAACAAACACAAGAGGGAAATGCATTACAATAAAGTTTGTAACGTTCGTAAGAATGATTTTGATAATAAACAGGATATGATTAATCATTTAGTCATGAAGCAATCTGACATTGTTGAAAGACCCTACAAATGTGAGACATGTGCAGCTACATTTAAACGTTTAGAAACCCTTAGAAACCATACAATAATACATATAGACGAGAAACTATATGTTTGCGAGGTATGTGCTACAAAATTATTGTTACTATTTTTTCTAATTATATCTCATTTGATCGTGGTTATTTTTACATTTTTGTAATTATAAATGTGCTGTATTTTAGATTTGCAACAAAGCTTTTACTTCTAGAAG